GCGACGGGAGCGCATAGCCGTTGCCTGTGTACGAGATGTTTTCAATCCCATGACTCGGTAAGATCGGCGCCACCGCAGGGACTGTGCCCATCGTGTTTGTCAGGGACGACTGGTCGTTGTTGTCTTTGGATGAGCTCACGATAGTTGCCAAGGCGTGTTTTGATGCGGCCATGGCTGCGTCGATGCCAGGTTGGCTCAAGGAGGAGGGCATGCCTTCATGTAGCCTCTTTTGTATCTTTATCGATCATCCTCTGGATTCCCTCAGATTTGGGGGTATTGCTGGCGATTGGGCGTAGTCGTCGCGAAGAGGTCGTTCACCGTGGCATGGGCTACGTCCATCTACGAGGCGCTCCTGTCTATGACTTATCAGCTTTCATTCGACTTATGAGTGCCACGCGGATCTTCCATTACAAAGCCCTGACAACAAGTGAGCGATGAGGTGCCCTGAAGTGCTTCAAATCGGCGTTGTGGTAGTTGCCGATGTTATATGTGATGCCCCTATGGAGGAAATATCGTTGAAGGTGTGCTTCCGGACCCTCCGAGCCAGTAGTTCACTACGCTGGTATGAGGCCGAAGTGTAAGAACGGGTGATTATTCTCCATTTCTACGTGGTCATTTCATTCAGATTTGAAAAAATTTCAGCAGCAGTATTGGTCCGGTTCACCGAGGATGGCGGGGTCTTTTCAGACGCCCGACCAGATACGCGATTCCTTCACATCGCGCCGGCCATATACCATCTAGCACTGGCCTCTCATGTGGATCCTGAGCTGGCTGAAGCCATCATGGAGCAGTTCAAAGGTGCGTCTTAAGACCTCTGAAATATACACATGGTCGACTACATGTGTAAGTGATATTTGTGAGTAATAAAATTTTTACTGGTTTCTGTAAACTTCCAGCCGAATTTGTATGTAAATCAGTGAGGAAACTTCTGAACTTAGCAGCTGTGGTAGGCCAACATTCATTCCGACACCTTTGATAAGATACGGATCGAGTTGCCGAACGACTTCGAGTATGGAGGTCTGTGATGGGCGATGACAGCCCGTCAGCTATGCGGAGACTAGTCGGGGCCTCCGGTCAAATGCTGTGGGCGGCCTCTGCTATGAAATGCATCAGTGAGGACGGCCTGTTGCCCGCTACTGTAGGGCTTGGTGGTCAATCGTTATGATTGGAATCGTGGCTTTGTTCAGAGGGTGAAGCCAGTATTCGATATGCTTATGGATCTCAGTGATTCGGATGGGAAGGCCAGTGATAGGCTGGGCTCGATAGCAGCTATAAACGATATGTAGACCCGGGATGCCCTGTCGGAATTAAGTGAGTCGGCAGGTATAAATTCACGACGGGTTTCAATTTCGTCCTGAGAGGGTCGGAGTTGAGGAGAGAAGAAGTCTTAAGGGGTCGAGTGGCGAATTGGTTGAATGGGAAGGTTGGCGGTAGTTTTATAGACAGGCAAGGCATGGATCCAGGTTCGATCCCTGCACCTGTCATTCTTTAGTTTTGTGGATGAAGAGCTTACTGGAGGCAACACCGTTGATGTCGTCATTGGTGACCCTCAGCATAAGCGCGGGGTTATTGTGGCTCCTCGTAACGCATGCTATCGTAGTCATGTGGATGGCCGTAGGGATCGCGCCCCTATGTAA